GGACCAGATAAAAAACCTGTCTGGTCCAGCATTCTCTTTCTGACAGTAGCCATCCAAACATATCTATGGAGGCCATCAGCAGAACATAAATAAAATAGCATCCTCCCGCATGCTCTTGAACAAGTGTTGGGAAGGATATTCCTTCATGGTTGAAACTAACATATCTGCTATGACTAGTTGCCATGCTCAACCAGCATGACTAACTGTCAGCAAGGGTGAGCACTGTAATCTAGGACATAAATTTGGGAAGTAGATTGTGCTAATATGTTACCTTATGCTGGGGGGGGGGGCGGAGGAAACGTGTTAAATATCTTAGAGGCATTAAACTCTGTTGGACACACAGGTCTTCTAAGATAGACATATAGGCAAGGTCTGCCTTAGATATATACTTGTCTTGGTCTGAAAGATTCTTAACTGAAGATACTTTTTTCATAATGGTGTTTACAAAACAACAGTAGAAACAAAAATAGTAAAGATTTTTGCTACACAATTCTTTGGAACTTTTTGCTATAAAGTTCTGTAAATGTTACTGTATTGTCCTCAGAACTTGAAATGTGCCTTATAGACTCTACTAACTTGAAGAAGCAGAAAATATTGGCATTACTTAAATGCAAAACTGTAATGTCTATGGGAGGGGGTGCCTCTCAATATATATTTTTACAATTTACTCACTAGAGGGAAAAAGGACTACTGTGTCATGTTATGTGATATTTCTTAAGTGGCTGCCTGCACAGACACATACTGGGAACTGCATATGTTAGCAGCAGAAATATTTGTCACTATTCATAAACATGAGGCCCCCTCTTCTTCCTGTTAGCTAACAAGTTCTTTAAAACATTTTTATTAATATGGTTGCTTAAAAGTGATGCTAAAATGCACATAACTACTTTATTTTAGGTCATCATATTCTGCATGTATAAAATGTTTGTAATACAAAGCTTGTTTTACATTTCTGCTTTATTTGGCATCTTCAAGAATATAGTTTGTTAAACAGTGCCATAGTATTCAAATGATTAAAAATTATCTTATCACAGATTGCTGTGTTGCCTTGATTCTTATTTTTAGCTGCATTATAATATAATGACATAAACCAGCGTGAGATAGAATCAGTTAAATGCAATTTCATTGCTGGATGCTTCTGTACAATTTGTACAGACTAAACAAATTAGTCTGCAAAGAAGCCTCTGAATCACCAGACCATGACATATTGCAGATATTGCTTAGGTACCACCTTGCACCTGTAATATTTCCTTTCTCAGCTGCTTTTAAAAAATACATTAAGATTTTTTGCAAAACTGAAAAGCAGGTCCTTCTAAATCTTAAATGAATAAATTGTATTATTTATTTTACGTTATTGCACCCAGCTTGTTTGAGGAAGGTGTATTATTCTCTTCCCCCTTTCAATCTCAGAACAACCCTATGGGGTAGGTTAGCTTGCAAGATAATGATTGGACCCAGTTATACCTGAGTGAGAATTTGAACATAAATCTCCCTATTCCTAATCCAGGTCTCTAACCATTGGATTGCACTACTGTTACTCCTCTTCTTCTCAATTTATATTAAAATTGCTTCCCCAAACCAGCAATGATATATTCAAAACTTAACATGTCCTGCTATTATAGTAAACATTATTTGCAGTGAATCTAAAATTGTATTATGCAAACAGTATCGTTTTGAAATCTAACATATAGGAATTTGTATTTCTTGGTAGAATGTTTACTAAAGATGAGGAAATGGATGGTGATATTTTAAAAATGTAAATGCTAGTAGAAAGATAGTAGGCAGTATGTGGTCTGTTGTGAGAAATGAATATTTGTCAGAAGAAATAAAAATGGTAATATCAGGACATGCTTTCATCCCTTTCTACATGGAAGCGAAAGTTGGATATGTCATATTAACGTCAAATAAGTTGAATGGAGTGAGAAAGAGGTACAGATAGTCCCCAGTTTAAGAACAAGTTCTGTTCCCAAGGTCTGTCCTTATTTGTATGTAAGCCAGAACAGTGTTATTGTATTATACTGTATAAGTAGCACTGTGTAATGAATTCAAACCATTGTGTATTTAACTTGAATCATTATGTATTTAACTCAAATTTTGCTACAATAGGCTCTGTTCTTAACTATCGGTTGTCTGTAACCCAGGTGTTCTTTACCCAGGGGCTACCTGTACTTAGGTATATGTTGCAAAATAGGAAGAGACACTTTTGAATATAAAAACAAGTGATCAGTATGTTGAGATGCTTTGATCATAAAGAGATTGAATAAGGATCAAATTACAAAACAAATACTGTACATAAAGGAAAAGTGAATAGGTCAAGAGGAAAGGGAAGATCAGAAAATCTTGGTTGGATGGAGTTGATAAGATCCTGTAAAGGAAGTGAGAAGTTCAAAGGCAATGTGATATGAAACTGATTAATGAATATGGTAGAAGCAAGAATGCTTTGGAGCATGGAGTGGTATAGTGCAGGGTTTCAAATTTTTTCATGCCATAGAACCTGTTATTTAATTTTAAAAATCCTGGATCCCTGATCAAGAAGCAAAGCTTTTGTGGTAGAACATTGGCTGCATTCAACTGAACTTTTATTTGGCTCTTATCCTCTCACAGAACCCCATCACGTTTTTGCAGAATTCCAGAGTGCTGCAGAACACATTTTCAAAAACCCTGGTACATGGGATTGATGTAAACTAGTTTTAGAACTTTTTCCTTACCTTTCCTTCTAATTTTTTGGCTTACTACTTCTTACACTTTTCTGTGATTTGCATAATACTGCTCATATCAAAGGGCAATAGAACAATGGTTACATTATGTATGTATATAATAATAAGCCTACGTGTCATAGATGGAAAAGCAACCTGTCTCTCCCAAAAGAGATTTTTCATTTTTGGTTGCTGAATTCTACAATATTACAAAACATTGCTGCTTAACACTAAAGGTAAGCTGCTTGTTCAGAATGAATGCACAATAGAGCCTCTGCCTTTTAAAATATAAGGAAAATGCACACATCACACACACATATTTCCAAATATATAAAACCAATCCAGTACTCCTACCCCCCCTTGTATTATAACATAATACAAAAATAAGGGCAAAGGAACCATGCTCAAAATAAAAGAAAGGATGACTAAACAATAATACAGGTCTGAGATAGCCATTTTAGCTGAATTATTAGCTGAGTAGACCATGCCTTAAATACACTGTGCTAAAAATTACACCTGATTTAGGGTGGTTTTTTTTTTGCAAGCACTGATATTTTGGAACATGGATATGTACATATTTAAATACCACTCCCAAAGAAACACACCCTACATAGTTTGAATGTTTCAGTGATCAAGAAAGTGCTACCAAGGTTCTTGCTTGCATAAGAACATAAGATAAAATCTGCTAAATTAGGCAAAAGAACTGTTTTCTGCACAGGTTATGAAGACCCTTGTCCTCTTCCACTGTTGCTCACTAGCAGGCTATCTTTATGTCAAAAACATTTGAAGAGCATCATATTAGAGAAGAATGATCTAAAGTCTAATGCTTCTTGTGTTGATCTAAGGCAGCGTTTCTTAAACTTTTTTCTCTCAGGACCCCTTCTCACATTTAAAAATTATGGAGGACCCCAAAAGAGCTTTTCTTTGTATGGGTTATATTTATCAATATTTACCGTTTTAAAAGTTAAAATTGACACATTTGCTGCCACTACCGCTTCTCACAATTGTTGATGGGATTTTAATATTGTATTATTTTTAAACATAGGCTGTGAAGATTTTATTTATTTAAAAGATTTACATAGCCACCCATTTTACACAACATTACTCTGGGTGACTCACAAATGACAGTACAAATAACAACAACAGTAAAAAACAACAACAACCATAAAAACCAACACAGAAACTCATAGTATCCCCAAACACAACACATCCCCTCACATCCACAAAGAACTTTACTGGGCACCAGCTTTGCACTATCCCAATGCTTGTGGGAAAAACCAGGGCTTTTTGGAAGGCCAGGAGGATTGGGCCTCCCAGGATCTCACGGGGGAGGGTGTTCCAAAGGGCAGGGGCTGCTACCAAGAAGGTGCATTGCCCAGGTCCCACTAGTTGGTAACCTTTAAGGGAAGGGACCTAGAGCACAGCCACTCTATCAGACTTAGTGGACTGAGCAGATACCAGCACTTTAAACTAAACCTGGAAATAAACTGGAAGGCAGGGCAGCTCACACAACAGCAGTGAACCATGCAGCACCCACACTGAAATGCCACTGCATTCTAGACCAATTGTAATTCCCAGATCATCTTCAAGGGCAGCCCATGTAAAGTGTGTTGCAGAATCCAAGTGAGAAGTCACCAGGGCATGAGTGACAGTGAGCAAGGCCTCGTGGTCCAGGAATAGGCACAAGTGGTGGACAAGATGAATCTGTGCAAAGCCGCCTTAGCTTCTATGGCTGCCACTTGCTCCTTGAGTAGGAGCTGCGAGTTCATGGGGACCCCCAGACTGCACACCATCTCTTTCCAGGGGAGTGCAACCCCAGCAAGAGTCAAAGATGATGCGTCACTGGAACCAGGAGGACCAAAGACTCAGAGCCACTCTGTCTTGTTAGGGTTATGTTGAAGCCAAGTCTTCCCCATTCAAACCCTTATAGCCTTCAGACCCTGGGCCAGGAGAAAAGAAGAGCTTCCTATTGGTGTAGCTGGATTGCTAAATTACATAGTATTATATTTAAACATACATTTACCTCATACATCATCTTATGCCAATTTATTTTATTGAGATTTTGCTGGTGCCCTTATTCTTGATGTAAGAGTAGCTGAGATGATGGGAAAGTTGAACTATTTGCTGCCCTTTAAGTTTCTCAAAAAGAAACTTACATTTTGAATATTCTAAGCACTTCCATATTCATTTCATATTTTTCCCCCTATGGTAGATATGGTAAGATCACTTACCATGTCCACCAAAAATCCAAATGAAGATTCTGTTTAATCAAATTATGATGAACAAAGATTTCTTTACTCAAAATTAAAACAAGCAAGCCCATTTAATGCAGATTTAAACTTAGACCTAAGACAGCACAACTATCCCATGCAAGTTCTCTAGGAGTCTCTCCTAGATGTTCAGCAATTGCTTCTATATTCAAAGCTAGTCAATTAAAAATCATAATAATTAAACTGATGTTTGCTTGTAGTTTTTTGTATCCAAGACTTTCTTTCCACACATTGCACAGATACCTGTTAATAAAAAGCACAGGAATACTGAAATTAGTTTTAATCAATCTAGTACAACTTAACTTGTTTCTCAATAACCACATAAACTTTAAAGAAAAGAAACTGGGTTTATGGAAAATATCTCACCCTTTTTGTATGCACATCCCTGGCAGTAATGAGAGCCTGGCTGATGAACTGAACTTTTACAAATTCGGCATATTGCAAATTTGTTTTTGCCATAAGGATCAAATCTAAGAAGATAAAAACAAGTGAATTAGCTGTTTATCAAAAGAATTTCTATTTACTTTCATACATTTGCAATAGATGGGGGCAGGGGGAGGTGGACATGAAGCCCCCAAGAAAGCTAACAAAAGACCTAAGAAAGTTTATTTGTTGCAGTTGCATAAAACTATCAAAATGCAAATTGCCATTTTGAACTACCACTGTAGATTTGCACAACATAATCTATATAAACTTCAAGTGTTCATGTTTTCTCTTACACCTTTTCTTTTCTACCTATGGGTAAATCAGCCCAGAGGACATATGCACGATAAATTTCCCAATCCTTTATTACTTGCTCAATGCCTTACAGAATTACCACCATCTAGCCCAATGTTTTTAAAACTTGGCAACTGTAAGATGGACTTCAGGGAATCACACATCTTAAAGTTGCCACTGCTTCTCAAGATGCAGTGATAGTGTTAAAGAGTTACAGGTGCTAAAGGTACAGTGAGTGGAAAAAAGCTTCTATGGCAACCCTAGACTGGAGGAAGTAGGAATATGAGGAAACTTGGAAGAGAAATTCTGAAGAATGTAGGGAATGAAGAATAGGCAAATTAACAATTTTTCCAGCATTTGACTTAATTGATAAATGAATTAAGATTTTAATTACCTTGCCTTTTTTGATGTCAATGCCTTGTTTTCATTTAGTTTTCTCCCACCACTTTCTATAAACAAACAAAATAAAAACAATATAAACAATTTTGAACCACTGCAAATTAAAGTTGAAGCCATTCAAAAGAAAACATAAATGTCTGAAGTATCCAGTAATAAACATGAACATGAACAATTTAACAAGTTCTTCTCCAATAAGTTTATTAAGGGTTTTAGATAGAACAATAAAATACAAGTGAAAAAAAGAAAAACAAAAAACAAAACAGAAAACCTCCCCCCCCAAAAAAGTGACTTCTCACCTTCATCATGACAAGTACAGTGGTACCTCGGGATACGAACTTAATCCGTTCCGTGACTCTGGGCGTATCCCGAGTTGGTCATAACCCAACGCAAATGTCCCCGTAGGGTTCAATGTAAATCCGGTTAATCCGTTCCGCCCTCCGAATTTGGTCGCACCCCGAAGCAAATTTTGGGGGGGAGGTTTTCTGTTTTGTTTTTTGTTTTGAAAAATGGCCATACCCCGAGGCAGAGTTTGCACATCGAGGTAAATTTTTGCGGCCAGAGCTGGTCGTAACCTGAAAAGTTCGTTAGTAGAGGCGTTCGTATCCCGAGGTACCAGTGTATAAACAATTCCATAATCTCTTCACCTCTTCTTATTTAGTCAATATACAACTCTTCATCCCATAACCCATCAATAGGCAAATCAAATAACTAACCTCTTCTCCCATCCAAATCTCAGCAAAAAGTCCAAACATAGCTCTAAAATATTAACATTAGTTAACATATATAAAATTCAACATTCCTCATCTCCACTCTTAGCTAAAATAAAATCCCATTTAAAAGACATAAAATGGCCCCAATATCCCAATATAAACAAATTAAAAGAAAGGTTTAACATAACAAAAAGAGACAATTTTTTCTTTACTAAAGACAAGCTCCAATACACAACATTTTTACCCTAAATAACAACTTATCCCATTCTGATAAACATTCCAAATCTCAACTCTAAACTATAAGCAAATCCACAAAAGACTGAAATTTAGCATAACAGAGCAAAATAGTTTCTCCTTTAAAGAGAACAAGATCAAGCTTCCTTACTTTAAATAAAAAGACAATTAAATGCAAAGCTAATTTGAGTACTGTGAAATTAAGATACATAAAATAATAAAGGAAAGAACTTAAACACCTTATTAAGTATAAATAAATCCAGTGCACAGTTTTTTTTAGTTAAGATATCTGCAAATCCAAAAAGAACCAGCCAGAATAACATATCCCATTTTATCCTTGGCCGAATAAGCTGATTTTATATTCTTTTATGTTCTATACAGAACAATCTTTCTCTGAAATCCATTCAGATGGTAGTTGACCTTTGTTGGAACTTTCTTCAGTACTTTAAACAATTTTTCTTGTGACTCCAACAAAAAGAAATTATTCCAATTGCTCTCTAGGACTGCCACTTTTATTTCCTTCTTAATTTTCAAATTCTCATCCAGTTTTTTCTTTATGTCTGGTGAAAAG